CCCCCCCCCTGCCCCTTTTCTCCCAAATACCTACCAGCTTTCACTTCAAACGGCAACACTTCCTTCAAGGCATCCTTCTTGAGAGGCAAGTTCTCCAACTCTACGGCCCCTGAAGGAGGAGGGGAAAAAGGCCAAAAGAAAGGAAAAAGTAGCAAAAACCTAGACAAAACCGTCCTCTGGACGAGGCCACGATGTCGCAGAATATTCCAGATAAGGGAACGAGACAAGCTAGCTAAGGGCCGGCTGCCCTTCTTGCCACGAGACACAAAAGGATGTGTTTTGGTTTAGCCAGAGATCTATAAGCCCAGACAACGGAGGTTTTACCACACTGACTGGTGACCGAGTGTGTGATGTATAAGTAGCCAACAAGCCAGTTTAGCATGAATGGTGATCACTCAGCCATCATGGCCATCGTTGGCCGAACGCTGCTGGCTGATTGGCAGAAGGAAACACCGGGTGGCGAGATCGGGCCGAAATCTATCTGGAGGCCTTACCTTTGAGGAGAGCGACCGAGAGCTGGTCTGTGTTCAGGTTACTGACATATTTCCCCAGGTAGGTGTTCAGGACCCACGCGATCAACCCTTCCAACATGGCGACTCCCAAGGAGGGCAGGATTCTCAGTCCATCATTCCCAAGTTCTTCCTTCCTTCCATGGTTCAGAGAAACGAAACACCGGTGGGTTGATGTTTGCCTGTCTGTGAAAACAGGTCCAGAGAGAAGCCAGTTAAAAAGTGCCCTTTCTCACAGAGAGAGAGAGAAAAAGGAAGAGGGTGAGGAGGGAGGGAGGAAAGGAAGGAAGGAAGGAAAAAGAAACAGAAAGGAAGGGAAAGGAGGAGGGAAGGAAGGAAGGAAGGAAGGAAGGAAGGAAGGAAGGAAGGAAGGAAGGAAGGAAGGAAGGAAGGAAGGAAGGAAAAAGAAACAGAAAGGAAGGGAAAGGAGGAGGGAGGAAAGGAAGGAAGGAAGGAAAAAGAAACAGAAAGGAAGGGAAAGGAAAGGAGGAGGGAAGGAAGGAAGGGCCATTAAACTACACATTAACTTCAAGTCAAACTTGTGCTGGAGAGGGAGGGAGAGGCGGAGGCCCTTTTAGACAACAACAACAACAACAACAACACAAGCACACCCTTTTCCAGGCTCTTCTTTCTTTCTTTCCCCAGCTCCCCCCTTCCGTGGGTGGGGAGAAAGGGGGGGGGGAGAGAAAAAGAATGCCGTCATACTCGCCTATCACACCCAGATCAAAAGATAATTAAAACCAAAAAACAACCACCTGCCGCCCGTGCCAAGATTTTTGCCGGCTGGTTTCTTCCTTGGGAGAGGACAGAAAGGCTACAAAAACAACATTCAAAACTTCTGCAACTCTGTTGTAAGAGTTGGGCAAGATGGACTTTGTAGTACCAGCAACGTGGGACTTTGGGGTATTGTTGTGCTGGCTAAGCCCAGCCGCGACCCATTTTTCCCCTCTGCCGATTGAAGATAAATTTCTCTTCTACATTTATTGGAAAAAAGGAAAAAAAGGTCCTCGACTTTATGACCACAAGCGAGCCCAGTTTATGTTGCTAAGCGAGACGTTGGGTCAGTGAGTTTGGCCCCCATTTTAGCAACCTTTCTTGCCGCCGTTGTGAAGTTGTTAAGTTAGCCACCCGGTCGTTAAGTGAATCCGGCTTGTTGCCAAAGGGGACTCACACCACCCCGGGAGATGCTGCGACCGTCATAAAGACGAGTCGGTTTGCCGAGAGGGTTTTGATCACGTGACCAGGGGGATGTTGCGATCCCCTTTTGCGACCTTCCGACCAGCCAAGCCCATAGGGGAGAGCTGGATTCGCTTAATGACGGTGTGACTCGCTTAACATTTGCGGGAATTCGCTTAAGACCCACGATCCAGCCTTGAGGAAACTCGGATTTATGACCATTTCAGACCCGTGGTCAATTGATTCCAAATGTTTGGCGACCGACTCACATTTACGATGGCAACGGATTCGTATTTATGTCGGTCGCCACTGTCCCCAGGGGGGGGGGTGGCAGGGCATGTGTCACGTGATATCTTCCCCTTTTGCGACCTCCTGGCCAGCAAAGTCCTATGGGGGGGCAAGAAACCTGCTTCGCTTAACGACCGTGTTACTCCATTCACAACGGAAGTGATTTGCTTAACCACCATGCAACTCGCTTAACGACCGTGGCGAGCAAGGTTGTCAAACGGGGGACACGGGTCACTCAGCTTCTTTAACAATGGCCATGGGGGAAGGCTCAGCTGTGGTCATAAGTGGAGGACTGCCTTCAGGGGAAGGGAATATACCAAAAAAGGGACAAAAAAGGGGGGGAAAGCTTTTGTGGGTGGAGGGGGCGGCAGCAGATACATCCCCCCCTCTTATTTTATTTTAATTTAATTTAAAATAGCCAATTAAAATAAGAAAAAAAATTAGGCCCCGGCCTACCTCGCAGGGCTGGCGTTGAGGGGGGCGAGGGGCGGGGGCGCTCCTCCGCGCTTCCCCCCTCCCTTTCCTTTCCCGGCATGCTTTGCGCGAGCTGAGGTAAAAGTCACCCCCGCCTTTTGAGGGCGGGGGGGGGCGCTTAGCGCACCTTCCCCCCCCCGGGCCCCCGCCTCACCTGAGGAGCTCCCTCCCTCCCCCCCCCGCCCGGCGCCCCCCGCCCCGGCCCCGCTCCGCACCTGCGACGCTTCTCACGGCACGGCGGCGGCACCGCCGGAAGTCCCGCCCCGCGTCAGGTCTAGGCCTGGACGCGCAGCCCCGACGGCCGAGCGCCGATCGGACCGATCGGACCTCCAGGGCGGGGGTGCGGGGGGGGGGAAATAGAGGAAGAGGCCGTTGCCCGGGCGACGACGGAGGGACGGGGCGGGTGTGGGGCGGGGCTTCCTCTCGACTCTGGTGGTGTAAGGGCCGAGGTTGAGCCAGCAGAGGTCGCTGGCGAGCCACGCTCAGAAAATAGAATATAGGATATATAAACTATAGGAAATAAAATACTGGATGTAGAATATAAACTATAGAATATAGGATATGTATATAGAATATAGAACATAGTATATAGAATATAGGAATATAAACCATAGAATGTAGGATATAACTATAGCATTTAGAATATAGAATATAAACTATAGGATATAGAATGTAGGATATAGAATATGAACTATAGAATATAAGATATAGAATATAAACTATAAACTATAAAGTACAGGATATAACTATAGTATATAGAATACAAACTACAGAATGTGGCATATGGAACATTAACTATAAAATACAGGATATAACTATAGTATATAGAATATAAATTACAGAATGTGGGACATGGAATATTAACTATAAAATATAGGATATAACTATAGTATATAGAATATAGACCATAGTATATAGAATGTAGGATATAAGATATAAGATATAGGACATAGAACATATCGAATATAGATTGAAATGGAATAGAAGAGAAGAGAAAAGTGCAGAATATATAAAGTAGAATAGAATAGAATGCAGAAAAATGCAGAATAGAATATATAAAATGGAACTTTGTTGTCACTATAAATGTACACTAATCAGCATACATTAAAATGAAATTTCGTTGCCTTCAGCTCCCAAATGATAACCTTTATGCATATATACACCTGCATATGTGACATGGTAAAACATCAGAGAGTGGGCTTTATGCTGGGACGGAGCACCACCAGGAGATCCAAGAGGGAAAGGATCGCCGGAACAGGCATCTGGAGACCCTTCAAGTGTCGGGACTGAGACAAGCTGACCAAAAAAAGGAGGGTGCTTATTAGCGTGGCCTGGGTGGCGAAGGGAGGCATGGCGTCCAGACAGTGTCATCTGGAGTCAGAAAGATTCGCCACACCTGAAAACAGTGGGGGCTGAACCAACCTGTGCACAAATCATAGTTGATCATGGTTTTTTCAATAAGCCACGATTGGTTGCATTTACAACAGGCTAACTAACACTGGCCATAGCAAAACCATTCAAGGCAGGCTAACCCTCTTAGATATGGGTGAATCTCTCCCAAGACAATGGGAATCGTACTTAGAGTTAGTTATATCTCCATCACGGTCGTTCCAAAAGTTAATTTCCTCCCCCCCAAAAAATTGGACTTTCTTGGGTTTTTCCCCTTCCTCAAAAACATTTTGCTTCTCGTCCAGAACTGAAGAAGCTTCTTGGATGAGAAGCAAAACATTTTCAAGGAAAAAAAAATAACAAGGAAATCCAGTCCCAAAGTTTTAATTTGTTTCTCAAATTTGGTTGGTCTGCAGAAATCGGGAAGGCAACACCGTTGTGCCAACTTTTGATAACCTGGAAACATCTCTAAAATGTAGGGTGTAGAGTCTCCCTGCTTGGGCAGGGGGTTGGACTAGATGACCTACAAGGTCCCTTCCCACTCTGATTATCTGTTATCTGTTATTTAATCATCGGCCACGCAGGGTAATTGCCTTGCCGGTGTATGTAAGACGTTGTGCATTTGGAAAACCACCACCGAGCAAAATCTGTGCTTTGCTTTCTGCAATCTTGGCCATGGAAAACTCGGTCTTTTAAAAGTAAGTAGTGAGCAGCTGAAACAGGCAAACTTAAAAAAAAGTGCTGTGATTTCCCATGCTCTTATTTAAAATAGGATTTTATTCAGCCGGAGTACAAAAAATAGGAAAGATGACAACAACAAAGAGTTTTTTAAAAACCTGAAATTAAAACTTGACAGTGAATATTTCAACTGCAGAAATCTGGGCCGCCACGAGGGGGCAGCAAAGAGAGAGGTTTACAGCTGGTCTGAAATTTGGCACCGCCATAAACTGAGGTATTTTGAGGGGTATGTGTGGAAATTGTGCGTTTTTAAGACTGTTTTTTAAGGATGGTTGCAAATCATCCCTCAGGGTTGGGGGCAATTATTCCTTACATTCAACGACAGGCTGTCCTCGGACTTACGACCCCAAGCGAGCCCAAATGTTTCTGTTGCCAAGCAAGACAGTAACTTCGGCTCTGTTTTACGACCTTTCTGGCTGCCGTTGTTAAGTAAATTGCTGCGGTTGGTTGCACGGTCGTTAAGTGAATCCCGGCATCCCCCGCTGACTCGTGGCTCGTCGGAAGGTCGCTAAAAGGAGGGAATTGCGTGACCCCCGGGAGGCGGTGACCGTCGTAAAGGTGAGTCAGTGGCTTCAGCGTCTGAGTTTTGATCGCGCGACCACGGGGAACGCCGCGACAGCCGTAAGTACAAGAACCTGTTCCAAGTCGCTTTTTCTTTTCCAGCACCATTGCGACATCAGCCGTCGCTGAACAAATGGTCATTAAGTCGAGAACTACCTAAATAGGGGTTTTTTTGTCCTTCGAGAACGTCTTTTCTGCCTCAGTCTTTCGTGGAGTATCTTGAGCAAGACGGAAGTCGCTGCCTGGAAAACCCTCCGTCGTTCTCAGGACAACGGCATCGTCATCATGCCGGTATCTTGGACGCTAAGCGGGAGGGGCTTCCCCCCAAAGGAGTCCAAGAAGTCCGAGCTGTCTTCGACCTCCACCGCGACGGACCGGCCGGACTCTCCTCTCGTGGCAGTCTCTTCCTGCGAGAAGGGAAGGTCTGCGGGGTGTCCGGTTTCGGCCGCCGCTGAGGGCTTCAAGGCCGGAGAATGGCTGCCGTTGCAGATGCTGACCACGCAGCTCACGTTGATGTGGGTTTTCCCGTTTCCCACAATCCCTGCTGAAAAAGGAAGGAAAAGGTTATAAATAAGAAGGAAGGAAGAGGAAGGAAGGAAGGAAGGAAGGAAGGAAGGAAGGAAGGAAGGAAAGAAAGAAACTGAGAAAGAGAGAAAGAAATAAAAAGAGGGGGAGAGAGAAAGAGTGAGAGCTGAAAGATGGAAGGAAGGAAGGCAAGAAGAAAGGAAAGAAGGAAAAAAGAAAGGGAGAAAGAAAGAAAGAAAAAGGCAGAGAAAGAGAAAAGAAGGAAAGAAAGAAAGAAAGAAAGAAAGAAAGGAAGGAAGGAAGGAAGGAAGGAAGGAAGGAAGGAAGGAAAAGAAAGAAAGAAAGAAAGAAAGAAAGAAAGAAAGAAAGAAAGAAAGAAAGAAAGA